GACGTGGAGCCGTGCTCTCGCTGCGCTGTCGCGGCCCCTCCGGGTGCGCTCCGTGCCGGGAGCTGGATGTAAAGACCGGTGGGTGTAAATACCCTTTAGAGGGTATTTACATAAAAAAAAATAGTGGCGATGCACTGCAAAAACTATGTCTAGGCTGAAGCTCTTCGGAGCCGGTGCATCAAGCCGCAGGCAGCAACAGGTGGTGGTGGACTGTTCAATGACATCGGCTCTGGCTTGAGATAGAGTCGGTATTCGATGTTTTTGTTTCAACTTTTGCGCTAAGAATCCCTTTGGCATAAATAAACTCACAAAGTGTTATCCCTTTGAGATTATAAAACAGTACAATAGAAAGCAGCTGTGCAGGGTAACTTCCTCCAGCTTCATTGTCTTGCCAAACTCCTGAAGGAAATTGGATTGACAGCATTATCTGTAATAGAACAAGCCATCTTACAAGTCTATTTCCAGAATTCTTGTCCTGTGCTTATCTCTCTTGTTGTGCTTGCCTTCTAAATTTTCCAAAAATCAGCGGAATGTGGGGAGGGTGAAGACAGTGTTGACCATGAAAGCTTAATTTGAAAAACATTAACCTTGTACAAACATTCATTTATGTTTTGGTTATAAATGAGTGCAAAATGTGGTCTGCAGACTATTATTCCAGGTCTCAGTTATGAAGTGCTGTGATATGAATGATGCCCCCCCAGCTCTTGGTCTGAGTGACCATTCATGCTCCTTGTGAAACACGTAGTTGTTTTATGATGCCTTATGGACTTCAGTCAGGGGACTGGTGCCATGAAGACTTAATCACTAGTTTTGACACAAGCTGCACGTACAAGGCTTTTTAAGAAAACACGTTTCTGTTGAGAGTAATAGGAAGGGACTGATAAATACTTTCTGAACTAATTCATGGGAAAATCAATCAGGCTTGAAACACAAACAGCATTTGGCAGATTGAAAAAAGCAGGCCTTGGGCAGTAGAACAAAAACTGTATCAATATGATGAAAGAGAATATGGGGTTAATTATGTTGTTGTGGCTCTTCAGGAGCTGTAGTGCTTGTGTTGGTAGTGTGCTTCACTGCCATCTCCATTTCTGTGTGTCACGATGAATTAACTTAAGGGGACAAGCATTATGCAGTCTAAAACCCAGTACTCATGCTGCAAGACAGCTCCCTGATGCTTTCCAAAGTGCAGTTAGACCACAGATCATATTTTCATTGTAAGCACAAAGGTTGCTTTTGTGATGTGCTGAGGTCATTGAGCTGTACAGGTGTGAAAGTGTCTGTCAGGTACAGCGTGGCATGTTCAGGAGAGGCACGTGTTTTAGTCAGCCATGATTGTTACAGCTATTTTTGTGATGCTGGGGTAGCCTGATGGGTGCAGTATGTTTGAAATATAAGGAGGGAACAGGAGTACAACACTATTTTTCTCAGACAGCAAGTTGTTGACTTAGCTCGTTTCTTTTCTTTCATTGTGGAGGTTCCTTGTGTAGGGTGATGGCAAAATGGAGAATTCTGAGCTACTAAGTTCACTATTTCATATCATCTGATCGCAGAATCATAGAATGATTTGGGTTGGAAGGGATCTTAAAGCTCATCTCATTCCAACCCCCTGCCATGGGCAGGGACACCTTCCACTTGACCAGGTTATGCCAAGCTCTGTCCAACCTGGCCTTGGACACTTCCAGGGCTGGGGCAGCCACAGCTTCTCTGGGCAGCCTGTGTCATCTACTCTGACTGTCCTGAGGAATTAACATACCTTCTTTTACTCTCTGCTTGGTGCTGTAGGAAATTTTATTTGTAGCAGTATCTTAATGAACATTAATAGTTTACATAGATATCTCTTTACCCCATTGTCCTAATTCATGTTCTTTATTTGCTGTGCTTAGAAAGTCTTACTACAGAAACATCTTGAAAGTTGTTTGCCTGTAGAGTATTGAAAT